TGAAATAGATTTCTATTTTGTTCTTCACTGACAATTTGCATATCATTGAAAAAAATGTCTGATCCATATCTTTTAATTATCCATGCTTCAAATCTATTTATTAAACATCTATTGTAGGCTTAGCAAAGGAAGAGTTCCAAAGGAAAACATAAGATATGGGAAGAAGGTACTAGGGGTAAAGATGAAATATGAAACTATAATTGGCAACTTCATTCAGTTCTGAATTACATACTACAGATTTTAAAGCGTGAATTAAGGGAAAGAAACTTGTAGACCAAGTCTTGAGAGGCATTTATGGAGTTTGCACAATTAGGAGGTAAGAGATAAGGACATTATGGATAAAAAGGAAAGTGTGAGGGGAGAGATGGAAATTGGATTGAGAGTTACATGTCCGTGGAACAGAATTCAGCACCATCTGTCATGCTCATTTTCTTATCATACCCAGGCACAGAGGCCAGGATGTCGTTTCATTAGCTCACCTACTTTATGTTACCTAGAGAGACACATTCTGACTCAAATCAGAATATTCTTCTAGCTGGGTGTATTGATTGATATAAAACTATGTTTGATTCATGCTGCATTTGGAACCAAAGCATATTTATATCATCGGAACCTTTGACTTTTGTGAAGCTTGGCCTTTTGCATTATTTTCCCCTAAAGAAACATCAACAGGTGTGGGAGAATGTGATCACTTGCAGGCTAAAGAATACATCACCCTTTTAAAGCCAGTCTTTAGAAAACCACAAAGAGAACTTCAATGTTCTGAGTCATTGCAGAGGATATTTTCTAAAGGAAAAGAGGATGTGCCATAGGAAGAGACTGGATGTCGGGATACAAGAGAAGCAGGAGATGGAAAGTTCTTGTCTTTTTTGAACCTTGGGACTTAAAAAGAAATGAAGTGACTGAAATAATGGGGTGCTTATGTTTGACTATGGTTGGGGAACTGTCAGGATGGCTGGTTTTGAAGGACAGAAGATGGGTGAGGGGGAAGACATAGAATTAAAATATTGTAGAAATCATCATGTATAAATTCTTAGATGATACCTTAATAATCTGCACAACATCTCCAAGAAGTACTTGCATTGGTTGGGACACAGGCTAAGTGTCTAACAGAGAGACCCAAAATTATAGGAGCTGAGACTACACATGGATCCCTTTCCCTCTTATGGAACCATACGTGCTCAGGCAGGTGGCCCAAGGCCAGCAGGTGACCCTGATGCCTGTCGCATTGCTTTGCCTTGCAAAAGAAATGTCATTCCTGCCTGTGTAAGCAAAGCACCCTGGCTCTGCCCACTTCTCATTCCAGCCCATAGGGTGAGAGAGGGGAGAGGGGAAGGCAAGTGGCACAGAAGTTGCCAGTGTCGGGCTCACACCCCGGGGTGAGAACTCAGTCCCATCGCCACAGCCCCCTGCCAGGGAGGATGGGGACAGGGGCAGCATAACCGCTGCAAAAGGTTTGTGGCAGGAGAAGAAAGGCAGTACCGTTCCAAAAGTCGTTTTCTTCTCAAATGGCTTTAATGTCAGCTGTAATCACAACCTAATGAGGCATGTTATCCCATTTTGGGGTAACTGTGATCATCCAAAACTTCTTACTTGTATTAAGCAACAATCTCATTATTTGCAACTTCTGTACTCCAAAAGCTGTACTGGAAAAGTCTAATCTCTCTTCTCTGCAATAGCCTTCCTGGATTTGAAGCTAGCCATCTTTATCTACAAGGTCATTTCTTTTCTAGGTCTAAAATGTGTAGGAGAGGAATAGAAATAGCCTCCCTCACCCATCGCTAGGTTCATGACTGAAGCCCCTATAATGAAAAGCAAATTATAGTAACAAGAGAGAAGGCATACAAAATTATCTGTATAATTAGATAATTACATGAGATAGTTACATGCCAATTAATTACATGAGAACCTCTATAAGGAAATAAAGGCCCAAAGAAACAGGTAAACTTGTGTATTTTTATGCTTAAGTCTGATGGAGAGTGGACACCCATGGAGAAGTTTGATTGGAGGACAAAGGGGTATGATCTAATGGTGATAAACGGGGGGATCTTCCAGATTCCTCTCTGTGCCCCTGTGAGTTCAGAGATAAGGATGTTCCTTTGCTCCAGTATAAGGAGGCACCTCTCGAATGAGGGTTTTATGACCTGCTTAAGGGAAGAAGCATGAGAGCAAGGTGAGAGAAACCTTTCTGCCTTTGTTGTTTTCCCAAATGCCAAGGTGCCATATTTGGGGTTAGCATGTCCTAAATCCCGTCACATGCTAAATTCTAATATGTCAGCCTTTCCACAGCCTTCACCATGCTATCCTTTTTTGCCAAATGCATGTAAGTTTGTTGGTGTCCCTTTGGTAATATAGCACCCCAAAATGAATGTATTCCTCCAAGCTTGTTTGAAGCAGAGGAGAATAGAACAGACTATGCTTTCCTGATGCGGGACACTCAACTTGTACTCATAAAACTGGAGATCACATTGGTGTCTGAAAGGCTCATCCTACAATTTGGTGAAATACAAAGAGTGGATGGCCAGGGGTTCATGGCACAGCCCTGCCACTTACCAGCAGCATGACCTTGGGCAGGTGACTTGAGACCCTCTGCCCATCAGTGTAAGAACTGACTTCGGGCAGTCCTCTGACCACTTCTGCTGAAGGTTGGAACACAAAGAGTAGCCCTCTGATTTACCAGGTTTCAGATGCGCTAGAGTTGCTTGGCAGCCAGTTATCTGTACCTGATGAGCAGCCATTCCTGATGCAGAGCCGCCAGAAAAGTAAACGACCTCTTAAAATGGTCTTTGGCTGTTCTTATACCTGGCAGCATGTTCTCTGGAGGCAGCGGGACAAACCCTCGGGTCTCTGGAGGTTTGGAAGCCTGGGTCGCCATGGTGCCTTCCTTCCACTTTGTGTATCCAAGTCTGTATCTTTCCTTGACCTTTGCATCAAAGAACCTTCATAGCCTTTCATGAAGACTGCAGCATCTCTCCCTCAATCCCACCCACCCCCTCCCTTGGTTTTCCCATCCATGACGGGAAAGCCATAATACTTGCCACAGTGGATTGCTGACGTCTCAAATAGAACAGAAGTCATCACAGTGCTTTGTAAAATGGAAAGTAACAATCCATGGGAGTTGCTGCCATTAGTTCTACAACATTTTTCCAAGCTGTTTGATTGGCAAGTGCCGTCTCTGCCATCCTGTCCACAGGCAGCTGAAGGTTTGGATCTGAGTATTTCATTTTGTCATCATCATCATCATCGCTATTCACCTCTGCCTACATTTTTACAGCCCCTTTCTCCCTGGTCTCTCTACTCTGTCTCCTCTAGTCCCTAGAGGCCTATCCAGTGTCTGCTTCCCACAGTCTTTCTCCTTTCTCCCACGCAGCTCTGCCTGCTGGCAATATTTCTATAGGAAACAGAGTCCCATGTCTACAACTGAGAGTGCTAGGTGCTGAAAGCTGGCGATCAGAATTGAGGGGTTGCTACCTCCATGCTTCCGTGCCCTTGCCTCTCCGTGCACTGCTTGCCTGGAAGACAAGCCAGGCCATTCAAACAGACCCTGTAAAGTTACTGTGGAAAGGGTCAGGGCAGTCCCTGTTGTTAAAGTGACAGATGATTTTTCCAATGTTCAGCTTATGGTCCTGAAGCTCATTTTGCTCTAAGAATCTCCAAGTGCTTCAGAGAGAACAGCATCCACTCAGTATCTCTCCGAGTGAATTAAAATCCATAGTTCAGGTAGGGCATGGTGGCTCACACCTGTTATCCCAGCACTTTGGGAGGCTGAGGTAGGTGGATCACTTGAGGTCAGGAGTTTGAAACCAGCCTGGCCAACATGGTAAAACCCCATCTTTACTAAAAATACAAAAATTACAGGCAGTGCACGCCTGTAATCCTAGCTACTTAGGAGGCAGAGGTAGGAGAATCGCTTGAACCCAGGAGGTGGAGGCTGCAGTGAGCAGAGATCACGCCACTGCACTCCAGCCTGGGTGACAGAGTGAGGCTCTGTCTCAAAAAATAAAGATAAATAATAAATAAAATCCATAGTTCCTAAGTGTATGGATCAAATCTCACAGGTAGATCAGATGTCAGACCCAACCTCTTGTTGGCAGGCAGTGGGGTTAGAAACCTCCTAATATTGATGGCCTGGTGTTTTTATGGTTGTGCCACCCTCCACTCCACCCCACATACATTGTTGGTATCTTGCACAGTGAGCTCATGTCTTGAAAAATGCCAAACTGCCTGTGCTTGAAACGGATAAGATCATATTTCTCTGAATAGAGATACTGTATCTGCTCTTGCCTTCGTGATGAGAGAAAGAAAATGTAAAACTAAACTTTCAGTATCCTTCCTTTTATTGTCAGAGAAGATAGACTCTCGGGTTGCACAGCAAGTGAAGAATGAGCTTTGATGGGAGTGGAGTCATGCCCTTCATGGCCTGTCTCACACCAGGCTCTCTTTCCTTACCTCTCTTGGATCCATTTTATTAGCTCTTGCCGCCATTGCACTCACAAAACAAGAAATCAATAAGTAATTATAGATGGGTAAGAGAATGCCTGTAGATTTCCTCAAATGTCCAAACCAGAGTGGATGAAGGAGTGAATACAGCCTTTTGTCATCTTTCACAGCTTGCTTATGGGAGACTGATCACTCTACATAGATAAGCCAGTAGCCCATGGCCCTGCAAACAGAAGTGATGTTCTCATGTTTAATATCACTCCATTACCCTCATCTGCTGGACATTTGAAAAACAATACCACATTCCAGTGAGAATTAGAAAGATACTTTGAAATAATGTCGAGGAAAAACACAATATAGTCAAAATTCAAAATTTTGATGTTTAAGCTTTGCAGTATGAAGAGTGAGGAATACTGAAGGGCTTTAATATGTCTTCCAATATGTTGCCATTTTGAGAATTAATAGATTCTACTTTCTGGGTATCTAAGATAGGGATGAAAAAGTAGTAAATCCTCTATAGAAATAAATTAAACTACTAAATGTAGAGCTGTCATTTTATCAAGGAAATTGCTTAACGGGAATTTATTAATCTTTCTACTGTGCTGGAAAATTCTTCAACAACAGATTATTGGAAGAACATAAGGACTTTCGGCCAGATTTTAAAACAACCCAAGGCTAGTGTCCACAAGGTTTGCAATTGTAGCTCCTCAAGTTCTTTCTTTTCTAAATCACTTGATGTCAAGTTAGGGTAGAAAACAAAAAGTCTAAGGTTAAACTCAGCTACCATACTGTCTCCTCCATAAATCGGGACGTTTGCTTGTGATGTTTGGTATTGACAAACAAGGTCTTTCTTCACGAAGTCTCCTGACCTCTCTGAGACAATTCTCAGACACTCATCATATGATATCTGTCCAAAAGCAAAGAAGAACAGAAGCAAAAATCAATTGTGCAAAAGTGGAAATCAATGCACATGGCAGTTGCTAAACAAGAAGTGACTAACTTACAGCTGTTGCTGGGATAGATCCCCAAGTCAGGGGAAATCCCATATAGCAGTACCCAAACTAAACACTTCCTCTGTAATTCCACCCTTTTACGAGGCTTCACTCATAACATTTTGAATCAAAACCTACAAAAATACCCCAGAGACAAAAGGCAGAATCAAAGGACCAGATCAGGAGCTAGTAAACTCAGTAAGTTTAATGTAAGTATACATCCATTCTTCTTACTTACTTTGGGGCAATTAACTCAAACTTACTCCCTCGTTTTCTGGTGGATCCAGTAGACTGGGTGATATCACATCTATGAGAACTCAGTGTGCTTGAGAGACAGCGTGATCAGTTTCTTCTCTCTTCCCAGCTCCATCTCCTCTCCCTCCCCTTCTCATAAGCTGCGGCTTCCCCGTCTCAATGCCTCCCAACAAGGTTGAGCTAAGTGGGAAAGGAGACTCAAGAGGAGGAGAGAAGAACCTGACCATCTTGGTTATATCCTGGCTCGGGTACACTCTGCCCATGGGAGATGTCTCCTGGCTAGCTCCATCTCTCATGGGGGCAGTGGGGTGTGTTGCTCAGAAGTACCACCATGCAACCAAGGACCTCCCAACTGGGGATGCCTGACCTCCTCAGCCATCTCTCTCAGAATTCTCAGTCGGCCTCAGACTACACACAGGCCAGGAAAGACACCAATTTTGTGCCCCTGTAGCTTTTGTCGTTTTGGAAGTCTATTTAAGAAGAAGAGTACACTTTATGAATATAAAATTAGGTACAGACCCTGGAAGGGGCCCATGCAGTGGGTGGGCCTGAAAGTTCTTGGCTCCATGGTCAGTTCACCTCTGGCACTGAATCTCTCTATCACCCTGCTAATGCCACTGAAGACACTAGGCCCTGCCACCCCCAAACTTCAGGGAGCTCATGGTGAAACTCTACATAGTCCACTCTCTGGGCTTCTGGAGAGGGAGGGTGAGGAATCCCCAACCAACTGATTACTTCCAAGGAAGTTTTCACCACCAGCCACTTCCACCCTCAGCCTAATCTTATATAATCTGGAGTTGAGTCATATGCTAATACTGCAAAACCCTATTTTGTCCACCACTTTTGCAGCTCCAAGTGGAAGGTCTAACATTTCGAGAAAGTGGGGCAAGGGGACATCTATTATTCTTTGCCTTGCTTGAGACCTTAGCCAGAACAGAGACAATAAGGAAATTACATTAATATCCTGGCATAGTACCTTATCACCAGTATTTAATTATCTACAAGTTCTCTAGAGAATCTGTTTTCTTGCCTTTTCCAGCTTCTAAAGGCTGCCTGCATTCCTTGACTGGTGGCCTCCTCCTCCACCATCAGAGGCAGCAGTGCAGCATCTTTGAAATTTCTTTTTTTCCGTCGTCGTACTGCCTGCTCTGTGACCGCCCGAGTCTCTCGTATAAGAAACAACCCTTGAGATTACATCGGGCCTCCTGGGATATTCACAATGACCTCTCCCTTTCAAGGTCCTTAACTTCATCACATCTGCAAAGTCCCTTTGGCCAAAGGTTGCATATTCACTGCTTCTGGGAATTAGGATGGTTACATCTTCTATGGGGCAGACAGCATTATTCAGCCTCCCACTCCCTCTCACGTAAAAACCTGAGTGTAATGGTCAAAGTCTGATATAACTTCTGCCAGAACCAGGGGTTTGGCTCCTCCTAACTCCAGGCTCCCCACCTCTGGAGTGTTGCCCTCATCTGTATTATCCACATTGACTATCAGTCTGCCCACATTGCAAACAACTGGAATGGAAAAGAGCCGGGTAGGGCATGCGTTTTTCTTTTAGAGACATGCCTTTGTAAATACTTCCAGTTCTTAATCAAGTGGCCACCTACGTCTCCCTGTCTAGGGGCTTCACTGGAAAGCACAGTTTTTATTACAGGGTGCAAAAGTGAAGAAAAGGCTACGGAGATGTTCATTCCCTGGACGTCCATGCTATGTGTGCACCAGCACCTGTGCTCCTTTTGAGTATCTGTGCCCAGTTTTTATAAAGGCCACATTCTTGGGAGATCCCACAGTGCTGTCATTTCACTGGAAATACTTCTACAGTAATTACCAATTGGCTTTAACCTTGAAAACGGCCCCAAGTCCATGACTCCTTTGCCCTATGCAGGGAGGCCAGCTAGTTCGATGCAAAGAGAACTGTACATTTTCAGACTGTTTTGTAGTTGGAATAACATAAGAATGTCAGCAACAACCAACGGAAGAAGTGAGGTCACAGAATGTGGAACTGCCTCAGATGCTTCTTGCTGTTGCCACGTGTCCTGTCATAACCCCATGCCCGTGACAGGCTGCCAGCAGTTCCTGAGGTTAAAGCTGGGTGAACTTACAGTTCCATGTACATGAGAGAGAGAACAGTTCCATGTTCATGGCGTCCTCACCGCCAGTGCTCCATTTAACTGGATGACATATTGACCACTGGTAAGATATGTAGCATAAAATAAAAGTATGCAGCAGTTGGGTTTTTCTCTATGCCAGTCAATGCGATAGTACCCCCATTTTCTTATTCTCCTTAATACCACGTGATTCCTCTTAGAGCAATCCTGTCAATCCTACAAGCAAATGGCCACTCCTAGTAACTTACATTCATTCGTTAATTCAGTGCATATTTACTGAGTACCTGCTAGATCCTCTGCTCCCTTCTAGGTTCTGGAAATTCCGAAGTGGATGCACCCATATTGGGTTAGCTTTCCCCAATTACATAGTGGCATGCATTTTAACAATGATTTCTTGATAGTTTCACTTTATGCTTATTTTCTCCTGATATTGTCCGTTTTCCTCCTTCCTGTTTCTTCATCCTCTCCCTCTGGTCATTCTTCCCCTAGAGATACATACGCTCTTCGTGCTTCTATCTTACGATGTTTGAAAAATGTCCTCTCCCCATCCTTTTCCATCTTCTGCCTTCTCACCTTCTGCTCTCCCATGGTCCAGTTTTCACAATGAGGTTTCCAGGAAGGTTGGAGTTCATTCATGGTGCCTTTCTCACTTTCTGTTGTGCTCATCAACCCCTAGCAGTCAGTCCTCATGCCTCCATGGAAAGGGCTCCAAACTGCAGCGTCCGACGAGTCTCATTGCCTGTGTGACTTAGGGAGGGCTCCCCACTGTAACACGCAGACCGAAACATCTAATGATCCAACTACACGAAAGTTTATTTTCTTGCTCCTGTAATCATCCTGGACAGGTGTTCAAGTAGACAGGTCAGCTTTTCTCCATGTGGGCACTCGGGACCCAGACTACTCCTTCCATCTGTGGCTCTGGCACGACGTAAGGCCTGCAGCTATCCCTGGCAACACACATGACCACTGCCCCACCTCCGTTGGCTAGATCTCCATCGCATGGGTGTGAAAGGCTGCCACATGGCAGGAGAGGCTGGGACGTGTGGTCTAGATGGGTATCCAGGAAGAAAAGGCCATGGACTGGGGAGGCCCTGACACATCTTCCTCTGTTAAACAGCCTCCTCCCGGGCTGCTTTGTCACTACTCTTATTTTTCTCTACCTGGCAAGCTGCCCCTTCTCAGTCTTTTTTGCCAACACCCTGGTCCTGGTCTTCCCTGCGGCATCTTTGTTTGGGACCCTATATCTGCTAATGTAGATGATCTCATCTGCTCTCACATTTTGTTTTCTTTTGTTTTGTTTTTGTTTTTTTTTTCACAGAACCTGTCTCATGAGAACCTCACAGCATATAGGCAAGATCCCTTCACAAAGCACTACCATCTTAAGACAATTGTTTTTTAATTATACTTTGAGTTCTGGGATACATGTGCAGAAAGTGCGGGTTTGTTACATAGGTATACACATGCCATGGTGGTTTGCTGCACCCTGCTCCCATGGTTTTTAAGTGCATTTAAAGACTAGTTGTATCCACATTTATTTCTCTATCTGGTCTTAACTATTGAACACTAAACCCATCCATACAACTACCCACATGACATCTGCACTTAGGTAGCTCATCAGCTCTAACTGTCCATACATCCAGTGCTTAGCTCTCAGTATATTCCCCAAATCTATTCTTCTTCTGTGGTTGCCCATCTCAGTAAATAGCACCTAACCCACCTTGTTGTTCTTTTCAGAAATCTGAGAGTTATCCAACTAATACTTCCTTCTTTCTTACCTCCACTCTATCTTTCGCAAACCCTGATGATATATTTCCCAAATATCTCCCATACCTAACTATATCTCCCATCCTTACTTCCATCATCATCTGTCCCTGGTCCTGGTACAATATTACTGCCTAATTGGTTTTCTGGAATCAACGTTACCATCTTCAGTCTATTTTCCATTAAGCATTCAGAATATACTTTTAGAAATCCCGATCTGACCTGGCCTTTCGCCTGATTAAAACTCTTCAGTACCTTCCAGTTTCTCACAAAATCCTGCTCACCTCCCTGCGCTGACTTGCCTCCACCCTGCCTGCGATCGCTTTGCCTCAGCCCACGCTGTTCTTGCTTCCCCTGGCTCTTCCTTTTCAGGCACAAAGCTGTTTCCACCTCAGAACCTTGGCATTGCCTGGACACAAGTCAGTTCCTCCCCCGGGAATGCCTCCTCTTCTTTCCCTCCAAGCCTGGTTATTGCTGCCCCAGTGTAACTCTAACCCTTCCAGAAAACCTCCCTGACTTTCCCCAGCTCTCTAAGGCTAATAGCAGTCCTTCCCAATAACCTGTACTTTTCCTTCATGGCTCTTACAACCTGGCTGTATGAAGCATGATGTGATCATGCTTTGAACACCTGTTTCTCCTTCATCTTCCCCTCAACAGCCATGCCAGTCTTTCTCTGTTCTTGCCCTGTGCCCAGCATGGTGCTAGCTATTTACTAATTTTTATTGAATAAAAGCTACCCCAGAGTGTAAGCCTAGCAGAGTAGCAGAGGGCATGTTCAATGACTCTGCTTCCATTCACATTGTCAGAAGCATTTTTTTTTTTTTTTTTTTTTTTTTTTGAGAAGGAGTTTCGCTCTAGTTGCCCAGACTGGAGTGTAATGGCTTGATCTCAGCTTACTGCAACCTCTGCCTCCCTAGTTCAAACAATTCTCCTGCCTCAGCCTCCCGAGTAGCTGGGATTACAGGCATGTGCCACCATGCCCAGGTAATTTTGTATTTTTAGTAGAGACAGGGTTTCTCCATGTTGCTCAGGCTGATCTCGAACTCCTGATCTCAGGTGATCTGCCCACCTTGGCCTCTCAAAGTGCTAGAATTACAGGCGTTAGCCACTGCGCCCATCCTGTCAGAAGCATTTTGAAGTAGACTGGAATACAGGGAACCTGAAGTTGAGACCCAGGGTAAACATCAAATTTGTTCACCAGTGATAAGTATATATGTAAAATAGTTGACTATTCAAATGACATATTAGAAGCTAGACATTTGGATTTCTAAATCTGAAGACTGGACTGTTTAGTTTTATCCCGAACTTAACTTTGCAGTACTAATTGAAACACAGATTGTTAAAACTCATCCAAGTCAAATCTTTGTTTTAAGGCCTCAAAAGCAAAGCCAGGGAGGTAAGAGGACTGGTTTGGTCTTATTTCAATTTCCCAGGTGTTTTCATTTCTTTGTTTGTTTTGGTTTTTTGCATCCATTGGTCCCTATTAACTCCTAGCGGTTAACAGTGGTATACTTTCTTCTACTAAATCATATACATTTTTTCCAAGTTTTCAAATCTTCTTGGTTACACTGGTTCTTTAGAATTAGCCCAGTAGCAGTAAATTGAATTCCTAAAACAGATTTACACAGTATTTGCTTTTAAAAGATGGTGTTGCACAGATCCTTATGCTTATATGTACTGTACCTTTAAGTATCCAAATCAATTTAATTAAATTTCATTAGAAGCAACAGAGCTGAAACAAACTAATGAAAGCTACTGGTATGTCAGGTGGTATTTATTTGTACATTAAGCCGCAAATACTCCCTTTTGGCCCTTAAAATTTAGTTTAAATATTTAACTCTAATAGCTTTTGGAATTGTTGATGGAATTAGTTTTAATGAATCTTTAACAAACAGTTTACCTTAAAAATAGATGGAAGCTTGTTTTATTACAGCAGAGATGAGCAGAAGGTTTTGTAGTTAAGCAAAATCTGGCTTGGTCTTTAGTCACACAGACAGTGCATCAGAATATTCTGCCTCCCATTTATTGTATTTAATACCTTTTCTTGAAATAAGGATGTATATATATAAATACCACTAATTTGAAATATTTTTATTCTCTGCTTAATGTGATTACATTAATAGGTTTGTTCCACTCAAAAATGACTGGAAAACTGGTACAATTCTGAACAATCAAGCTTTTGATACGTGAGCATTAATATCTTAGCTGGTTACCTAAGGCAACGACTTCTGTTTTGACTTTCGTTTGAAAAGTAGGTCCCAGCGAAGTAGTCTTGCTTATGAATATAAGTACCAAGCCCTGAGTGTTACAGCTGATGCATGGGTGAGCTTGGGTTGCTAAAAGCCCAACAGATTTTTACCACACTTTCCTTTATATCTCAAGTCACTTAAAAAAAATTAGAATTGACAAGCTTTATGGGCTGTAGAGCCTCCAAAGACAGCTAAGGTGAAAGGCTTGTGTTTGTGACTTCGGTACCAAATAATCTGTACATGGCCACTGAGGAATCCTTGCTTAGAGGCCAAATAAATCTTGCTAGATTAAAAAAGTTCCAGAACTGTTTAAAAACCAAGGAGAAAAAGGCCATAAACGGGCCAACAGTATCCTAGTCATTATTTTGCATTCCAATTAATATCCCCAGTAGAAATAAACAAGCATTGTTCATTTTCAAAGTTAATTGTTTATTGAAGCTCCTGGGTCAGAGAAGTCTCTTATAAGAAAATAGTTGATGAATCTAACTTCTAAGGATAGAAGACAAAGTTTCCAAAACTCTCTTTGGAAACAAAATTATCAATAGAAACATCAACATTGACCATATCATCACAGCTGTGGCTATTCACTGGGTCACCCTCCATCCCATTGGGGTCAAGTTTCTAAAAGTTGTCTTCCAGGAGCAGGATCAGAGGCCACCATGCACGTAACTCAAAATTCCATTTTCTGCTAAATCTCATCTGTTGAAACACATTAATAAGGATTTGGTATTCAGCCTATTTTCTTTCCCCCGTAATCACCAAATCCACTCAACCTTCATTTTAGCAGCCCTTGAAATATTTACTGTCCCCTCCCACCTTCTCTCTAAACTCTATTACATGGAATGAGCCAACTTCTCTCTCTAATCCCCTTTCCTCCACCTCCATCAAGGAGTATCCTTCTCCATCCTTTCTGTGATTCAGCAGAAGTAGGGTGCTCTCACCTGCTCAA